ATGAGCGTAAAAGTAGGCGTGGTGACTTTTTCTTTGCATAAAAATCAAAATCGGGGTAGGACGAACATTTAAAAAAATATTCAAAACCGTCTAGCCGTTCTTAGCTGATTCGATTGCCAATGAACAACAATTGATATTTAAATATATAGATTAAAAAAGTAGTCGTGGTCAGTTCCTCTGCCCCAAATAAATACTTAGAGTTGGATGGAAAGTCAACAGTATCTCTTGTAATAATTTTCAAACCGATATCTTCATTATTTTGGCAAATATAAGGATTTTAGATAAATCGAAAGAGTGGGCGTAAAAATAGGCGTGGTCAATATTTTTTCTTTAAAAACATAACTCGGGGTATGACCAACGTTTGTACAAAAAATTATGCAAATCTGTCCAGACGTTCTCAACTGATTCCATTACCAGCGACAATTGATTTTTATACCCCCACCTTGGAAAGGAGGGTATATTAACTTTGTCATTCCGTTTGTAACATCTTTAAATATTCGTCGTAGACCCCATAAAGTATATAGATTCATAATCAGCACAAAATTCTAAGTCGATTTCATGACGTCCGTCTGTCTGTTGAAATCACGATACAGCCCACATTATGTGACGTAGAGCGCCAAAATTTAGCAGAGAAATTTGTATTGTGTCTAGGATGGTTGGTATTGAAAATGATAAATATCGGTCTACGTTCTGGTATAGTCCCCATATAACGGTACCTCCCGATATTCGGTATTTTGATGATTGATATTCACCGGAATTGTTTCAACTGTGGTATCTGAAGTTCGAAATGGATACTACAGAATATGACAATGGCTAATGACAAACAATGCCTATGCAGGTCCAATATAATATAAGGATTTTATTTTCTGAAAATTTCCAAATTCGTTCCAAATGGTGGAGGGTATTCAAAGTTCGGCCCGGCCGAACTTATTGCTTTTTAACTTGTTGATTTTTGAATTATAGTCAGCTTGAAAGACCTATATATTTTTCAAAGTTATGGCTTCCAACTAAGATCAGCTTAACAGTTTTTGTTACCTTTCCATCCATTTCTTTCAAATATAATGTACAATATTTCAGATAAATTAATGAAATAGACACTTGACGCACTACTAAGATGATTGGTATTGAAATGTCCCCAATGCAGTAATCCCTATTGTAAAAAGTCAACATTGTTCAATTGGACATTGGTGCTATAAATTGATATCGGTGGATATTATTCTGAAGTTCCTAATACAAATTGTCGAACTAAATTAGCTGTAATGTAGTATTTATAAGTCCCAATGATTAGAATTTGTCGACGCCACAGCTTCCCCAAGTAACCTCTAAAAATGGGTACATAAATATATGTAGCTATGTATTTCTCTTCCTTTTGTAAAATATGATGATATTTCATATGTTTCACACTGATCTTAATACCAAAATGCACAACTCTCACTCCTCTCCCGCTCTGGGTACCAGATATAGTACCACATGGTACTTACAGTGTGAGATGAAAAAACTGCAATCAACTTCAAACTGCTGTCATTTCTAAGCCATTCGTCTGACAGCTGTTAAAATTATTCCAGTGACAGCTCATTATATTGTTTATATTGTGCGCATAATGGTCCCCAAAAACTCCGAATACCAATCCGTTGGACTATTGTGTATGGAGTATTTTGAAATACCAAAGTATCGATTGCCTCAAGCAAGCGCTTCACCGGGAATGGACCAAAATACCGCGGAGCAACAAACGGGTAGCGTGTGACGGTTTCATTGGCCGTTTGAAGGCCATAATTCGTGACCAAAGGTGACTAATTCGAACAAATCTAAATTTATTCTAAAATTTGAAATTTAAAAAAAAATGTAAAAATTATGGCGTTTGTTGCAGTTTTTTATCTCACCCTGTATATGTTATAGATCACATTTGGAAATCGACTAAAGCTATACACTCACAGTGACTCTAATATCAACATGTATATATCCAACTATGTTCCTACACTTCCTACCGAACTACGTACATTTACACTACGTTCACTCTCTCTTCCCTGTCTAACCAACAGTTACCCCCTCAACAATATTCATAAGTTCAACTCTATTCCTAAATCTAATCCTATATCTAATTTAGTACCTTTTAGCACTATTGGGCCATTTTATATAAAGGGTTTCCAAATTCACCTCCTTAACTTAAAGCTAAACAGTTATATATTCACCCAAAACCATGTTGTACCACATTTCGTAGCAAAATATTGCCTCTATCCATTTACATAATATGAAATCGTACCAAATTTATTGCATTTTAGAACTTTTGGTGAAAGCTATTGTTCGAATTTTCAAAAATCCTTTGCTTATACATAATATCAAGGAACCTCAACACTTTGCTCAATTTCTTCCCCAAAGACCAAATTTAGTACACTTTATTACTTATTGATATTTTAGTGCGTATTTCCACAATCATCTTCAAATCTCAATCTCACGCATCAACATTATTATCGGTCTACCAAATAACAAATTTAATACAATTTATTACATTTTATAACAACTCCACACATCAGTAGTGACCTCTATGCCAACATATCAAATGTTTTCTCCATACGTTCACCCAAAACCAAATTGCAACAAACTTAGTACAGTTCTTACGCTTAGTACTCATTTCCAAATTTACCTCTTTATATTAGCTAAATTTTCTAAACTTAATTCTTATACCAAATACAAATTTAATTAATTGTGGTACATTTATATTCGAACACTTATAATTCAAATTTCAAAAAAGCCTTTGGTTCGTTTATTCTGTACTACATCGGCTCCAGCTCAGTCCGTTTACCCAAACACCGATTGTACCAAATTTAAAACAATTCATCAAAATTAAATAGAGTTCGGGAACAGTAACTACAATAACAGGGCGGTATTTGCTATGCTAATAAAACTTTATGCAACTCAACTAATTTTAGCAAAAACTTGTATTAGTGAATTGATATATAGCTTTTACAATTCATCAAAATTCCAAATATAAGAGGTATAATAATATGGGGGCTACGCGAAAATGTGGACCTGTTTAGATCATTTTCTACCTGAGAAGATGATAGCTATTGTCAACACCACATACAACAATTTGAAATAATTCCTTTGAACAATTATGAAAATACTGAATATTGGTAAGATTCTTCATATGTGGGCGATTATTTGCCATAGCAGATGGTACCCATTACGAACTCCACATAAGAAATTAAAGACGATTCCAGTCAGTATTTTACATTTGTGAGGCCTTAAGTGAATTCTTCGTGGGGTGGAATGTATAAAAAGGTGTAAGTTTGCACGTTTTTGACTTCAAACACGGTAAGTTTTGTATCAATCTTAGATCGTCAGCGAAATGTGAGATAAAATACCAGCAATCAATTGCCATAATTTTAACATTTTTTTTTAATTTGATTAAATGAAAGCAAAAAATGTCGGAAAAAGCAACAAATTTTAAAATAAGTTTAGATTTGTTCGAATTGGTTACCTTTAACACGAATTATGATCTTCAAACGTCCAATGAAACCGTCACATGCTGCCCGTATTTTGGACCATTCCCGGCGAAACGCTTGCTTGAGGTAATCGACACTTTGGTATTTTTTGTATCAACCTTGCTTTCCAAAATATCCCAGACACAATAGTCCAACGGAAGCGAGGAACCTCATTTTGTAATCATTCTTGGGTGGCGCGTGCTGAGTGCGATGGTGCTGAGTTCTGTTGGAATGTCCAAGGCCTGCGGCCAAAATGTTTGCGTGCCCAAGGCTTTAATACACCCTCCATCTGATCTGATGCCACGGTCGATTAATACGAGCGGAGAGAGCGGTCGAATGTTTTATCATCGGAGAAAACCAAATTCGGCTGTTCACAACTTTCGGCAAAGCGAAGCAACTCTTTAGTTCTTTTGAGTCTATGTACTTGCACTTTTTGGAACTTCAATGGCTATACCCTGAGCTAATTTTTCAATATTTGTTGAACGGAATATTTCGATATGTTTAGCACACTAGCCAATTTTCGGCCACTGCGACGCGGGGTTCGATCAAGTCGCTTCTTTACTTTCGAACTATTTTTGCTGATGTTGCTGTTTTCTTTCGTCTACTTCTTCGATGTCGGGCTACTCTACCAGTATCACGAAAATGAGCGATGGCACGAGACACAAAAGATTTATTCACATTTAAATTCTGGAGTGCTCTAACGATATTTACTTGTGATTTTCCAGCCAAATATAAAGAAATCACACTATCACGTTTGAATTCCATCACGAATAACATGTACGCTTGTAAACAATATAATAAGATGTCACTGGAATAATTTTAACAGCTATATGGACAATTATTTGCCGTAGCAGATGATACCCATTACGAACTCCACTTAAGAAATTTAAGACAATTCCAGTCAGTATTTTACATCGTTCCTAAGCTAGTGTGATTTCCACAGAAGGACGGATGTTGCTAAATTGACATAGAATTTACATTTTGTGAGGTCTTAAGTGGATTCTTCGTAGGGTGGAATGTGTAAAAAGGTGTAGGTTTGCACGTTTTTGACTTCACACATATAAATTTTTGTATTAAATATATATCATCAGAGGATGTGACTATTATATGTCTATACGCTCCGGCCGGTCCCCCATAAAGTCAACATTTTCAATAAAAATAATTTTTATATTAGCATATATAAGTTATAAATTTACACCTGTCCGTGCGCAATACCAAATTAAGTATTATGCGCTTACAATTTACCGTCTTTTGGATCTTATTTATTTAAAATTTTATGTAAAAATAATATTATATTAAAATTATAGTAATTGATCTAAAAAAACATTTGGAAACATATTCGAGAGAAAATGCACATACCAAACGACTCTCCGCACTAATCTAAAACATTTTATACTTTCCAGTAGACTTTGACTTTTGAACCGACAGAGATATGCTATTTTTTATGAAAATGGCTATTTAACTTAAAGGTTTTGAAATAATCATACATTTCTTTGTACATAAATTTCTTCTTTTCAGAAATCGGGCTATGTCAAGAAAAAGCACTTTATTGATGTTGGATCCATAACATTCGGAGGAATATTCGGACTTGGCGAAAAAAGTGAACGTCGCGTTATAATGGCACGGACAACTGTACAATGTCTAATGATACCCAGATTTTGGCTTTTTGAAAAAATGCAAAATCCCGGCAATGTATGGCAACGCAGGCGTTTTTATCTGGATTCAACTATTCCATCCCGGCAATCGCTATTCACCGATTTTGTATGTACGCGTCAATGGAAGAAATTCAAAAGCAATACAATTCAGAGCAATTTAGTTCATGCCTCCGTTTCAAATCCAACCCGCATACAAGATGTTCCCATAATTTGCCAAATAATTGAAGACAACATTTAGTCTGTACTTGTTGATACAATTTCAATCGAAATTCAAAATTAAGTCGTTTTAAACAGATAGATTTCAGTTACATCTTTAGAAAATTTTAATAAAAGCCGAATTCGAATTGAGTCTATTATTTGTGCCAGAGGAAGAAATTTCATCGACATTAAATAGAGTTTATGAACAGTGCAGGGTGAGATGAAAAAACTGCAACCAACTTCAGACTGCTGTCATTTCTAAGCCACTCTTTCGACAGCTGTTAAAATTATTCCAGTGACAGCTCATTATATTGTTTACAAGCGTACAGGAGCATTTTTGGTGAGAATTTTCCAGTAAAAAAGTTATTCGTAATGGAATTCAAGCGGTTTCGTTATATTTGGCAGGAAAGCCACAAGTGGCTCCCGTTAGAGCACTCCAGCATTTAAATGTGAATAAATCGTTTGTGTCTCGTACCATCGCTCGTAACCTGATACTGGTAGCGTAGTCCGACGTCAAGGAATTGGACTGAACAAAACAGCAACATCAGCAGAAATGGTTCGAAGGGTAAAGAAGCGATTTGATCGAAACCCGCGTCGCAGTGGTCTAAAAATGGCTCCTGAGCTGAACATATCGCAATATTCCATTCGGCAAGTGTTTAAAAATAAGGTCGGAGTTAAAGCCATTGATATTCCAAAAAATCCAAGAACTTACCCCGTAACAGAAAGAAAATAGACTCAAAAGAGCTAAAGAGTTGCTTCGCTTGGCTGAAAGTGGTGAACTGTCGAATTTGGTTTTCTCCGATGAGAAAACATTCGTTGTCCAGCAGTTTTTAAACAAACAAAATTATCGTGTTTACTTGACAAAGAAGTCAGCTGAAAATATACACCTTCGGTTGGCCACCATAACTCAAGCGCCGGCCATGGTGATGGTGTGGGCCGCCATAACAGCCGATGATCGCTCTACGCTCGTATTGATCGATCGTGGCATCAGAATAAATGCCGAATAGTATCGCGAAAATATTCTGGAGGGTGTATTAACGCCTTGGGCACGCAGACATTTTGGCCACAGACCTTGGACATTCCAACTGGACTCAGCACGCGCCACCCAAGAATGGTTACAAAATGAGGTTCCTCTCTTCATTTCCAGCGCACAACATCCACCAAAATCTCCGGATACCAATCCGTTGGACTTTTGTGTCTGGAGCAAGCAAGCATTTCGCCGGGAAGGGGACAAAATACCGCAGAGCAACATTCGGGCACCGTGTGACGTTTAAATGCCATAATTTGTGCTAGGTTGTATCTGGAACTAAGTAACATCGTTGTACAGTGCATTTTACAACTTCGAGGGACTTAAATATCAAATCGGATGAAACATATATAAAGGAAGTTATCGCTATATCCGATTTTCACAAATATTGAAACACTGGCTTATACTCTGGCTTATATACTGGCTTATTTTGGCCGCATGTGGCAAACTCCATCGTACTTGGATCAACATTACAGTTGTCGCACAATAAAACTGAAGCCATACGAACACAAATATTGGGGCTGTATTTAAACTCGGACCGATTATCGCCGATTTCAAGAAGGTTCGGCTTTGAGCCTAACAAATGCTATCAGTGCTTTGTTTACAAAAATACATGGACGGGGATGCATACAAAAATACATAAATAGACTCAGAATGTGAATGTGACCATCAGAAAGAGCTATGGGTCTATCTCGTTTCCTTCTGTATGTTACAAACAAATGCACAAAGACATAATACACTTTACCACAAAGTTGTGTAGGGTATAAACTCGTATCACAACATGTCAAAGGGCCAAATTTTCGTAATAGCATTCCTTTACTTACTCATGAAAACTTTCAAACCATTCGATTTGCAACTTCTAGGTATATCTAAAATTTGCAAAACTACTCGCTATCGAGTTCAAGACTATCGCATAATAACATCAGGATGCGTATGGCTTTTATGGTTTTTCACTCATTTCATTACATTGCAATTCTAATTTTCTTTATTTAAATTCTATTAATTTTCTTTTCCAGTACTTGCAAGAATCTGCTAGTTTTGCAATTTCTATACGCAATTTCATACGGTACAGCAACTATGACCCGATACTCACGAAATTCAAAATGGAGGTGGGGATAGGGTCATAATAGAAGCCTATCGTTTTTGGAGATGATCGCAAAATATTTAGGGGTTGAAATAGACCGAAAACATAAGAATTTCCTGATTTTGCTGTTGTTTTACAGGCCACAATTATAAACCAATCGACGCTGAATTTTGCACGGAGTTAGAGTTTAGGGCTGGGCAGTAGGAGGACGGTCATTGGACAGTATTTAGCGGGTAAAATAAACCATAACTTTTATGGTAAAAAATACCAAAATTTCCACTAAACCGCAAATATTTTTAATACCTGCCAAATCTCATACATCAAAGGGTCACTTCTGATCATTACAGTGATGCTGATAGCCAAGATATCGGATAAATAGAAAAATTGGTACAATCCAAGAACCGCTGGGCTGATTTTTACAATTGCCATCAATTCGGAATGATCTCATGACAAAAAGGATTAGATCTAAGAAAATCGCGTAAAAACAATAACAATAAAAAAGTGAATATTTTTTGTTACATATTTTTCAATTTTTGTCATATTTTATATCGCATGCGATTCTTTCAAGTTGACTTAGAATTATGAATTGTACATTTTCTAAAGTTTTTTTTACACCCCGCAACACTATGTGTTGACAGTATTATATACAGGTAGCAATTATTGTCCGATCCTCACAAAATTGTGCTTGGGGTAGGGTTACGGTCAGAATTAAAGCCTATTGTTTTTGCAGATGTACATTTAGACCAAAAAAAATAAAATTATCCTGATTTTGCAGTCGCTCTACAGGTCACAGAAAAAATCAATCGACATGGAATTTTGCATGAGAAAATAGTTAAGGACAGGGAAGAAGTCTAGTATTTTGGTTTGGACTTCGTGTGAAATTTTTTTGTATACCTAACATAAAGTATGTATATTCAAGATCAGCATAAAATTCTATGTCGATTTAACGATGTCCGTCTGTCTGTTGATGATATGCTGAATAAATGCAGAATTTAAAATTATTACGTTTGAAATTTGGGCTAAAATGCCTATTTGGTGAAAACCATGAAAAACCAGTAAGGAAAGCTCAAAAGTTGGGCGGGGCCGACTACATGATACCCTACACCACTATGCATATTTAGTAGAGCTCTCGTAGAAGCAAAGTTTATATTGCAATTTCTGAGCTCTATGAGATATCTGGCATAAAATATCATTGTGGTAGAGTGCATATTCCGAAAGTTGGAGATTTAAACACCAAATCTGATTAAACGCATGTATGGGAGCAAATTTGAAATTCTTGCTTTTATGCCAAACTCGGTTGAATTGCGAGAATTCATTCCATTTGGGCTAATATTAGCCATTTGGTGCACAATGAACCTAAAATCGGATAATGATGTATATGGGAGCTATATCCAAATCCTGAACCGATCTTTATATATATATATATATATATATATATATATATAAAGATACCTCGGAGTATGACGAACGTTTGTACAAAAAATTATGCAAATCGGTCCAGCCGTTTTCAACTGATTCCGTTATATATATATATATATATATATATATATATATATATATATATATATATATATATATATATATATATATATATATATACCGTAAAATATGCCAATAAAAATATAAAAGAAAAAAATTTTTGGCTTGAAATTTTTTCACTTTAAAAACTATATAGAAGTGTAAATTTTTTATTGTTTTGAATTCTGAATGAATAATATCAAAAATGAAATAGTACGCAATAAGATGTTAAATGGCGATCTTACATGTCTAAAATTGGCATTTAGCATTCAACTCCAGGATCTACATCGTGCTTCAGCTGGAAGATGCGAACACATTTAAATAAACAAAAATAACCGACAAAACGTTATGGGGCTCATTTCAACACGTGGACCTACCTACTTCTATCACATGACAATAATCCATATTTGGATAATGCAGTTAACTTATCAAAAAACCATAAAGTGAATGAGGCCGTTATATGGGGCCATACCAAAACGGGAACCTCTGTGGACAATTTTATACTTCAAGGATTGTCACCTTCTAAAAATACCAAATTTGAAACAATTATATGCGTAAATGTGTGGATTATCACATACCCAATATAGGTAGGTATCGTTATATGTGTTAGACAAATCCGAGGAGAAATGTGGCAAAAATCATCAAAATACCGAATTTCGAGAGATACCGTTATATGGGGACTATACCAAAACGTGCACCGATAGATCATTTTCAATACCAACCATCCTATACACAATACAAATTTTTCAGCTAAATTTTGACGCTATACGTCAAATAATGTGGGCTGTATCGTAATTTAAACAAACAGACATACAGACGGACAAATCGACTTAGAGTTTTATGCTGAATATGAATATATATGCATATTTAATGGGGTCTATGACGAATATTTAGTGATGTTACAAATGGAATGAAAAGTTAATATACCCTCCTTTCCAAGGTGGATGATATAATAGCATTAAAGACTAAAATTACGGCCAGCAACGCCGACCGGGCCAGCTAGTATATGTATATGTATATAAGAGAAAGTTGTGTTAGTTACTACGCTTAAAACTTAAGAACCGCTGGACTGATTTTAACGACAAATTCGGAATTATCTCCTGTCCGAAAAGGATAATATCCAAAAAAATCGCGTAAAAATGTGATATATTAACATTTTCATTTTGACTTTTGAGATGAACAATAGTAATGTTTTATTTTGCATGTTTTTATTCCATTTTGACTTACTTTTTTCTAATGTACATTTGTAGTGTTTTTTATATTTTAATACCAATTTATTTAATTGACTTGATTTCTTGAGAACTGAAATTGATGGCGGGATACATGGAAGTGTAGTACCGAATTATGTGGTGGCGAAACGGAATAGATGATATCGAAATAATTTAACGCGGTCACACCAAAGTTAAAAGATAATTACTTTTCCAAAATCGCTAAAAAATCACGAAAATGAGATCTCATTGCAAAAATTATCAAATCAGGAAAAAATCGAAAAAAAAAATTTTCAATGAAATCGAATTTTAAAATAATAGTACATTCTATTGACAAACTTTGTAAAGACCTTTAAACATTTGCTGTAAAAAATCAGCGAACAAGTTAAAGATTTTTATACCCTACACCACAAGGTGGTTAGGGTATTATGTTTTTGTGCATTTGTTTGTAACAGGCAAAAGGAAACGAGATAGACCCACAGTTCCTTTTGATGATCTGCATAGAATCACATTCGATTTATGCATGTCCGTCCGTCTGTCCATGTATTTTTGTAAACAAAGTACAGTTCGCATTTATTGCCCTATCCCGATGAAATTTTGCACAAATCATTTGTTTGGCCCAAGGACGAACCCTATTGAAATTGGAGATAATCGGTCAAAATTTACGATCAGATTGGACCTCAAAATAAGTATGCCAAATTTGATCGAAATCGGTTCAGATATAGCTATGACTCCCATATATATTGTTCATTTGTTCGATTTGTTATTTTTGTCCTCCGCAGTCGTAATATGCACTTTGTAACAACAATATTTGGGGAAATATATCAAATACAGCTCAGAAATACATTTGCTAAATTTTATGGAGATCGGTTCAGATTTGGATATAGCTCCCATATATAACTACGACCGATTTACCTTTGATTGTGCACCAAACGTCTAATATTTGCACAAATTGGATGAAATTTGGCACTTACGACTTGAGTCTAGAAGCTAGTATATCAAATTTGGTGAAGATCGGTTCAGATATAGCTATAGCTCCCATATATACTCTTCATCCGATTTGTCATTTTTGTTACCCACAGCCGTAATATGCACTCCGTAACAACGATATTCAGGGAAATATATCAAATACAGCTCAGAAATATCTTTGCCAAATTTTATCGAGATCGGTTCCGATTTGGATTTAGCTCCCATATATATTTTTATCCGATTTCAAATTAATTGTGCTTCAAATGGGCAATACAGGTCCGAATTTAAAAGATACAAATGCTTCGGCATATTTAGTCCTTTGAACTTTAAATTATAATTATAATCATAGCGGGTATGATTGAATTCTCCCATAAAATGAATTCTCCCGACTTTAGGACTTTCTTTACTGGTTAATTTTTTTTTTTTCAATTTGTATTATCATATTGATTTCAGGGGATTTTTTGTGATCAAAATAAAGA